ATCACCTGCCGAAACGTCCTTAGTTCTCAGGGCTGGCATCTTGATGTGTAGAACCTAAGTTCTATCTCCCCTTTCCTTCCCCCCATAGTTCACTGGCAAGCTGAGAAGCGATAATAGTTGCAACAAAAGCACCTTTTGAAGCTTGACACCATGTTTGAATTGGTATCAAACCCCTCACGTTTATATTAGATAGAAATTGAAGCAAGAGCATAGACAAACCTTCTCCAGCTCTGAATTTCTTTATCCCAGGAGCAGCCTGAGATCACTAGGTTGGGAAAAGTTGGGAAAAAAATCATCATAGATTAGGTTCTAAACATTTTACATTTAAACTGTCTGTGGACTATGACAGGTGTTGATCCATATAAACTATATGTTACTATCATGGATCAGTATCCATATTAAATGTATACTGACCCATATGGAATGGAGTGTAATCTATATAGAACTATCTTGTGTTACTCTATATTTTTTTCAGTCAGCTTTTAAAAAGAAGAGATGTATGTGTACCCCTGAAAATCAATCAACTCTCTGAGGAACTAGATGCTTGGAGAGTCTGTAGCCAATCATTAAACAAGTAGGTGTATGGTACTTTATTTGACATGGTGTGAATTTATGACATTTTGCTTTATGTGGAAAAATTGCATGGATTTTTAGAATATTTTTCAGTTGTGAAACTTTATGTTTATTCTTACAAATACTAGCATGTCTACATTTTATAGGTCTTCTGATGAACTACTACAGATACCACCATCTGAATTGCAACAACAGATTTATGCAACAATGCTATCACGAATTAAAGAAGAGCATCTTCAAATAACCATAGGAACAAATTATGTTTCTGGATCTAACCTTCCTGGTCATTCAGATGTTCATATCTCTTGTTTGACAGGATTAAAAATACAGGTATTGGAACAGAACTGGAGTACATTCTGTAAGAACCTACAAGTATGAGTATTATTGGTTATATCCAATAGTAACACAAATGGAAAGTTGCCTGTACTCTCCCGTGGTGGCACAGTGGTTAGAATGCAGTACTGCAGGCTTCTTCTGCTGACTGCTGGCTGCCAGTGCTATTGCTGTATTCTTCCAATTGAAGTTTCTTGAATCTCCTGCGAGGATAGTATTCAAGTTAGCATTATGTTAGTCCCCGGAGGCAGTTTGGTTTAGATGAGGAAGAACAGGCTGAAACACAACTGCTCATCCAGGCTGCACATGGATGAATCATTTGATTTCAGGATTTTAGCAGCTTTGGTTCTTGGTGGATTATATTTCCTCAGACAGATCTGATATGCAGTTTGGATTTTATTTTTATTTGACGAGCAGGTGGCAGTTGTGGACTATAAACCTCGTTTGCATTTCTGCCTTCTCCTGGGAGGCTTTACTCAGTCACTCACACCTTAGTCACCACTGCAATGTGTTCTGAGTATAGCCGCCTTGGAGGCCACTTGGAAAGTATAGTTGGCCCAAAATATGATGGGATGAGCAGTGAGATGTGTACCTTATTATGCCCATGTAATATCTCTGATGTATGAATTGCAGTGGTTATCTGTGACTTTTTGATTGGAATTCAAAGTGCTGGTTGGCATCTATTAAGCTTTACATGATTTTTGTAGGACTTCTTGTCTCCAATTGTACCTTCTTCTCTGATAAGTTCTGAAGTTCAGCATTCTTCAAGTTCCAATTGTTAAAAAATGTGGGACCTAAGAAATGCATCTTCTCTGTCATTGCTATTGCAATATTTCTCCTTTAAATCTATATGAGTCCTGTCAATTGCCTACTTGCTTCAAACATTACAGATAATTGTTATAAGATTTTCTTGAAAAAGATGAAGAATTATTCTAAAAGGAAAATCCTCTATATTTGAGGGTGATTGTTGTTAAAGAATAAGATGCAGTAAAAATCTCTTACTTGATTTCAGGAAACAAATATCTTGTCCCCGTTTCATTCCAATATATGATGATGAATATGTTGGATTACGATGAAAACACAGAATTTCAATTCCCTAAATAAAGGTTCATTAAATGAAATTTACTTACCTTTTCTTCCTTCCTTCTTCACTTATTCTCTCAAAATCTGCTCATGGGAGCAGGACTCTGAGGCATGACAAATACAGAAGGAAGCTATATATGTTAGCATAAATGATCATGTCTCTAGGCCTAAACAATAAATTATTTAATATCTAAACTTTTTTTGCTTTAATGATTTCTTCTTCTAAACTTGTAAAATATTTTTATTTTTAAAGCTGTAAGTGCATATATACTTATTTAATGTATTTTTCATACAAAAAGTATAATTTGTTTATATCTTACTGTATAGGGTCCTGTATTTTTCCTTGAAGATGGAAAATCAACGATTTCACTCAACGATGCATTGATGTGGGCAAAAGTGAATCCTTTCTCTCCACTGGGGACAGGAATACGGCTCAACCCATTCTGATCAAGAAATCTTTCTATTAATAATGATAGTTGCTTTTATTTTATTAGTGGAAAGATTTGAGGTTGACACTTTCTTGAACAGTTTTATAAACTTTGTGAATTATACATTTAATTTTTATATTAAAATTGATAACCCAAAGAGAATTTCATATATCATTGGCAGCCACGGGCTTTTAGAAGAAGATTGAAATTAGGTATCTGTGAACACTCTTGTGAAGCACATTGCTGGGTCATATAATCACAATTTATGCTTTGAATTATTCCTTAAAGAACACATGCATCCTATTTTAAATAAAGTTTGTGTGTGTGTCTCCTCCTAGTGGAAATTAAAGGGCATAGCCTAACAAGTGCTGTTTTGGATAAAAGATCCACTGAAACAAATAGAAATTTTGCAGCTGTGATGTATGATGGATTGTATTTTCATATTTATAATTATTAATGTGTGTAAATTTAATAGTTGTATAGTAAATTGGTTAGCAGGTATTTTGGAATACTTAGCTTATACTCGGCATAAGAATGTTTTTAAAATATATTTTGAATATATGGATTTGCATTTGACATCCTTTATTTTAAACGATTAAGCATATTTCTAAAATTTATTTTCCAATATATCTCTTTTAAGTAAACTATTGATTGTACCAAAATACACTTTGTAAATTTACAAGGAATTAACTCTTTTCATTTTAGTGTTTGTAAACATATGGCATTTAAATTTCCAGCATCTAAATAAATTAGGTTTGTTTTAAATAAGTCTTTTTTTCCTGAACGTATATAATCAAATTTCAGTTTATTACCACTACCTCTTCTTTAGGTTAGAACTTCTACATGTCCTGTGTAGTCAGGATATTGAGAAGGAGACTGCACTTAACCAAACGCATTCTGGCTGTGAAGGTAAAACACGATCTCTGCTAGAATCAGTTGCTTTTCCATAGTGGATGTGTGTGAAACTCCTCCCTGAAATTGAATACTGAAAGATACCTAACAGCAAGTAAATAAATATGCTTTTTTGCACATTGTATGTATTTCTTTTCAGCTTCTGGGTTGAATACACAGAAATCTTTTGACTTTTACACATTGAAAAATGTGTAAAAGTCAAAGGTTCATGCATGTACGTTCAGCACAGATACCGAAAAGACTGCTTCAAGAACCAGCAATGACTATTTATAGGTAAAATTTCTTTAGTTCTATATTTTCCTTTCCAAGGCTAATACCTCTGCTTTTCCTCAACATTCCCTAGAAAGATGTATTACAGTAATAATATGCAGTGGTTATTTTGCTTTGTTATGTGTTCAGATCATTAAACTTTTCATTCAATAAGCTCTGCCTCTTGCTGTCTACATCTTTTTTTTTTTCTATCTTTGATTTGCTTGTCTTTTTGTTTCCAGAATTTCCTTTGTAGGAACTTAAGACTAATCTCTACAAAACAGTTTACTTGAATTTCTAGTTTTAGCTAAGATAAAGGGACCATTAAAACATATTACAAGAATAAATCTACAGTTTATAATTTTACTTTTTTCAACTTAGATCTTTTGACATTTTGTAAAGTACGATATACTATTTTATATACAGACTGATAGTTTGGTGTTGTGCTTAAAGTGCTGGCTTAGAAACCAGGAGATGCAAGTTCTAGTCCTGTTTTAGGCATGAAAGCCAGCTGAGTGACTTTAGGCCAGTCACTCACTCTCAGCCCAACTCACATCACAGGAGGTAGGATTGTTACACATGTTCACATGTCTTGAATTACTTATAAAATAATAATGACAGAATAAATATCTAATAAAGTATTATTTATTGATCAATTGTATTGGTTGATTCTGGTATATATTTATATGGCAAGGAAAAAGCTACTTCTATTTATGAAAGGTTTGAGATCCTAAAGTTATTTTTACTTGGTTCCATATGATCCCCCACCTCCCCCAAACATTTTCTTATAGCATGCAGGAAAAATAATTTTAATGATAGTCAGATCTTATAATGAATCTTCCTTATTATACCAATTCTTCTGTGGAAAAAAAATACCCTGTAAACTTTAGTTCTCTTGTTCCGATAAGTATGAAAAATTTACAGCAATCCCTGAAATGGAATTAGCTACTACTTGTTCTTATATTTTCAGCAATAAATCAGTATACATATAACTGAAATGTATATGTTTCAGATTGGGATTAATTTTCTTCCTCTATTTTTCCTCCTTCCCAAAACTTTAAAAGTATTTCAGAGCTGTGCAGATTCCTTTTCTGCAATAGATGAAGGATAATAATAGCAATAAATATCAGTCTCTCAGTAGCAAGAAGATGGTTTTGCCATAGGAATATCTTTTGGGTTAAAAAAAAAGCTTAGCCTAACTTTTTATTGCATTTTTATTGTGTTCCTACTGCTTTTCAGTCTCATAACTTTAAAAGAGGTGCTTTCTCAAGGACTCATTAAAACTCTTCTGTCCTCCCCACAATGTGGGAGAAAACAGTTTTCAGGACGTTCTCTAACCCATTTGACTGGTTCTAAAATTCTGAAAGATACATTCTAAGAAGCTTCCTTGGTTGATGAGAAGTTGATTTTTTTTAACATGATTCGTTGATTTCCATCAATTTATGTGTACTTAAGAGTATATATTTAGCTATATTGAACATTTTACATTGTTTCTAAACGATTAAGAAAATACTTGACAATGAGGCTGGAGCTGATTCATTTTATTAAAATTATATTCACTAAGAGTTCTAGGTTCTGCATTACTGTATAATAAAAATTTACATTATAGCATGACGAGGTAAATTTCCAGTGATGGAATGGATAAAATTATTGCATTTTCTTATGCTTGTTTAAATATCATGTTAGCAATATGTCTTTGATGTCAGTATTAATTCTTTACTGGCTTATTTGTAAGGTTCATGTTCCTCAATATAGGACTCATGTTTGATTATAAATCTTCTTTGGTATTTCTGAATTTCTTCTCTGTAGTTCTTCAAAATGTATACCTTAAACTTCAGTATTCATGTTTATATCAAATGCGAATTTCTCAGGTTGTTTCACTTGAATAGTTTTGAAATGGACATATGTTTTACCTCTGATTTGTGTGGATGCTACTCCTAAGAAGGTGGGGAAAAAATTTCAAGCACACAATTTCATTTATAACATAAAAAATTGTTTTAGCTTCTAAAACATTTTTTGAAATGTGAGTTATTAAAATTATTAAGATTCTTCTACCTATGAATATTTGAGAAAATTAAATAGACACAAATTTTCAGCAATATAACAGTTTCTGATTATTATCAACTCAATCCGTGCAAACTCAAAATTGGCTCATTGAAATATGCTAAATATTGTTAAAAATGAAAATGTAGGACATACTTTTAATAAATACATTCAGGTGCAGTTCACTCTAAGAACATTAGACATAGAGCTAGAAATTGAGAGACAAATGACAAAAAGAAAACAGGAGGTCCAGGAAGAGGAGGAGTCAACTGAAAGAGTAGCTGGAAAAATAGAACAAACAAAACAGCAAACAAAAAGAAATGATAAAAAGGAGATAAAAATGACAATGATTGATGAAATAAACCAAGGGGAGAGTATTTTAAGGGAAGTTAAACAGGAATTGGAATTGCAGGGAGACTTTTTTGGGAGAAAGATAGGGGTAAGAGTAGACAACTTGAAAAATGAGACAATGGAACATTGTAGAGAAGAGAGAAATAAGAGGATTGGCCAAGAAGTGGCAGATAGAGACAAAGATTTAAAAGAGGAATATGGGAGACAAGCTAAGAAACAAATAATTAAAGCCTCAATGTGGATGAGAGATGATGGTTAAAAAAGTTTTTTTTAACATAAATGTGTGTATGTAGTTAAGACATATAATCGTTAAATGTAATAAATACAAATATTAACATTTCATTGGAGGAAAAGAAATGATATGTGGAATTTGATTGACATAAAAATAATATATTGAAATATTGCACAAGATAATGAAAGATTACAACTTAATAAAAACTACTATTATCAGAATTACATAACTTGTTAAACGTAAATATGATGAATACGATTTTATTTGTACTAAAATGTGATTAGAAAGGGGATATTTTTTAAATATAACAGTGGCATAATTAAAAATTAAAAAGGGGATAAATAATGTAAAATTACAACTCAATATGAATTTGTGAATTGTTATTAGAATATAGTCTGTTAAACACTGCAAATATGATTATCAATATATTATTTGTAGTAAAAGAAGTGATGTTAAGAATATAGAGATAGACACAAAAAATAACATACTGAAATATTGAACAATCAAGAATGATAAGTTAACAAAGTAAGCATATTAATATTAAATTTTAAAAGATTGTCAATTGTATTAAATGTGAAGAATATTGTCATATTTGTTTTAAAATGTAAGACACTCTTATGCCACACTGTTCACACAATGATATGTTTGTTGAAATAAGAAAAAAATAAAAAAATCTATGGCAAAAAAAAAAAAGAATGCACAAGGGACAATAGGCAAAAGAATGCAGTAATTGCTTTGTCTCCTGCTTATATCTCCTGACATGAAACAAATAGGCTCAACCTGTGAGGTTGCCTGAAATGATATTCAGAAGACAATTCTGGCATTTCACTCAACCTCCCTTTCCTTTTCTCCCTGATAATACAAATGATAACGGTAATTATGGAAGGTGCAGCTGTATTTTTCTTCTGCTGGAGAAGTTAAGACATGAATGCAAAGAGGTTGCAGATGCTTTTTGCGGTAACAGCCATTGTCTCAAAATAATTGTTTAACTTTTCTCTCAAAAGCAAAATTGAAAGAAGTAGCAACTACTTTTGCCTCTTCTACCTTCATAGTCCATGACACTATATATATGTTTACATCTTGTCATATACAACAAGGAGGGCTATGCTTTATAGAGGAAGAGAGAAAAAGTAACCAAGCAAAAAATGGGCTTATTACATTTCCAGCTAATTATTATTCTTTCACTGAATGTAGATAAAATATTGAGAGAATAAAGAAGGCTGATTTTCAAAAGAATAATTCTTACTAATAGGCCCATTATTATGGGTAATTTCAGACCCGTATCTGCCTTCCAAAAAGTCAGAGGCAGCCTTAAGATACTTCAATAAGAAGGCTCTTTTCTGCTCCACCTATAGAATATGCATAGATATAAATGTGCGGGTAGATGACCATTTATGCTAACTCACACTTCAGGAGGCATTATGGAGCCCACACTCTACTTTGATGCTGACAGAGGATCAGAGGACATAGAGGCAATAGTGAAACTCACTCTTCCTCAGCTTTCAATATTGCTCCAAGAAAAAGGCTCAGAAGTGACAATATGGGGAAAATAAATGTGTAGACATTTTCTAAATGGCTGTCAGGAAAAAAGATGAAAAACAACTAATTGAAAATTAAATAAAAATATGAAGAATATGACACAGTTGATAGGAAAATAAACATTCTAAAAAGGAAAAAATGGTATAAGTATAGAATGAAAAAAGATGGATAAATCAGAGACTGGTATAGAGAAGGAAAGACAGAATTAAGAAATATTAAGATGAATTATACCAAAAAACCAAAAAGTGCAGTATATTCTGCTCAAAGTTTTGTTACACTGTTAACAGAAGTTACAATTCAGTTAAACGCCTAAAAGGAAAAAAGACATGCTTGAATTAAACTATGAATATTCAGTCATAACTATTTCAATAGAACTTATTCCTAAACAAATATTTAAGTTTATCTAATCCATTTGAATAGAACTGTGACCTTTGATTTTCAGATTGGAAAAAGAATGCTTACTATTTGGCACAGGAACAGATTTTTCCTTTTGAAGATTAGTTGTACCAAATGAACGAGCCAAAATAGAAGAGCGATCAATGGCAAGTTGTCTCAGTGTTGGTTTAATACCAAACCGTGCTGTAAATCAACAAGAGTCATTTATCTTAAGCAACACATGTTATTAAATATGCCAGCTACATTGTATAAAATTTATATTTCTAAACCAACCATCTCCCTCATAAATTATTAACTTCTATTTATGATTATTAAAGAAAATGTTTCATTAAAGAGACAATTGAAAAGAATATAGCTGGAGATTATGCAGACATTGATATTCTGAGAGCTTATAAATCTATTCAAATTTTAAAATAAAGCATGTCTGCAATATACACAGTGACAATATTTTTAGTTACGATCTACTCTTTGTAATGCATAGAGATTAAGATAGATAACACTAATTGCAAAACAATCAAACAGTTAACAATAAAAAGAAATGATAGAAAGCAATCTAACAATGCAGTTAAGTATTCAACTAATCAATATTAAATATTTTCTATGACAAAGGTGGGCCTTCTCCAAACAAAATTAATAAACCTGAAAACCCATGCCCTGTTGTGCCATAGTTTCAGAAATATTTCATTATCTAAACTGAAAAATAGAATAACCACTAATGGCTCCAAAAATAAGAGACGGAGTGGCTTCCTATTTCCCCACTGATTTTCTTTGTGTGGGTAGCTAACAGGGAGCATTAGAAACCTTCCTTCTCATTCCTCCCTCCCTTCCCTTGCCAGGAGGCTGGTAAGGGGCTGTTGCCAGGTAAGGTTGGGAGCAAGGGAGTGCATGAGTAGCCAGTGTGCTATGGGCTCAAAGGGACTGGTGGTGTATGCATCATTTCTCTATTGACTTTTTCCCTGAAAGCTTCCCATAAGCAAAAACTTTGCTAATTGGAAGATGGCAAGGAGCATCAACAATCATACCGGTTCCTTCCCAGTTCTCCACTGACTTATGGAAAGCCATCAGGAAATCATCAAAATCATCTGACCAGAGCCAAGTGCAGCAGCACAGTGGCAGAGCTGAACCAGCAAAAATATCCCCAAATTTTATTCCCTCAAGACTAATGGGACCCAATGTTCTGTAAGTTGTCCTATTTGAGGTACCTTTCTTGAAAACATTTTGCCTTATGTAGCGTTTCACAGAATTGAAGCTTACAAAGTTTCAAACAGACACGAGTTTTTGTAGTATATAGATGAAAAGCAAACTGGATCTCCTGCAGCAGGTAACTAACTCTGAGTTCTTATCAAATTGATTCTGGATAAAATACAAGCCATGGAAAGTCCTTTTAAGGTGAGTTTGAAAAGTGCAGCTAACTATTGGTTTTTTTAAATACATGTATTCCTATTAAGTTAAGCAGGCAGGGAAATATCCTTATGTTATTCAAAAAGATGTTCTGAGAAAGATACTTACATGGATGTTGTTCCCTCTCCATTAACCTTCGCTGCCTATGTATGTCAAGGATGGCATTTATTTTCTGTTTGTTTTTGTAAATATCAGGTTCTGCCATTATTTCTGTCAGACTGATATTGTTTTTAATAGCCCTTGAAGCAGTTGATCTAGCAACTGGTGGTAAATTGTCCTGGTAAATACGATCAGTAAAATCAATCTTTTCCTCTTGAATATGTTTTATACTACAAGAAAAAAAGAAAGCATATTCCAGTTTCTTTCATTAATCAAGTAATAAAACAATGCTGAGCTGCCTGTGTGCTTATATGTATATTCTTAAACTGAAACTTCCTCAAATTAACTTGAAATTCTATAGATTCACAAATCAATGACCACATTGATTTATATTTAAATTAGATGGGAAGATAACAAGCACAAATCAATGACCACATTGTTTTGTGGTTGTTTTCTTCCCATCTAATTTAATTTTTCCTGAGAAAAATTATAGTAGTGGATTGTGCGCCTAAAGGAAGGAATTGTCTTATCTTCTATTATTAATCTTAATATTTAGGTATTAACATACAGTGTTTAAATACAGCACTGAAGAAACATACCGACTGTTTGTCAGCATTGTATAAATGTCTTGTACAAATATTTCTGCAGCTCCTGGTTTACAATGAATTGTTCCATCAATTAACTCTCGTGTAGGTTTCAGGTTCCTTTTTGTAAAAAACTTTAACAAAGAGAAAAAATACATAAATTTATTTTCATCTCCTCAGTTATTTATCACAAATAATGGGATAATTGGCCCGTTTTGTCACTTTCTGTAATATCGGAAGTGACGAAACGGGCCTATTATTTAGCCTGCAAAGCTTGCAGAGGCTTTTTTTCAAGCCTCTGGGAGGCCAAAAAAGGGCTCAAACCAGCCAAAAATCAGCTGTGAGGCACAGTGCAGGTAAGGGGGCAGCGGGGGGATTGCACACGCATGCGCAGGGGGTGTGAGGGGGCGCACATGTTGCCTTCTGGGTGCTGGCACACGAGCACAATTTTTGGCATAGGAGCCCAAAAAGGTTAGCCACCACTGGTGTAGACTATGATGCCTGACACAGTATCTATGTAACAGAACAGGAAAGACACAACTATTAAAAATATAAATATGTATTTCCCTGGAAATACAAATACCCTTTTTATATTCCACTTGAAAAACAATAGCATAAATTATTTGTCTATGACTGCTGACTGATTAATTGCCAGTAGTCTACAGAAGAAATAAGAAACCCTCATTTTATTGTAACTTTTAAATTTTATAGAAGATTCATAATTTAATTTATTATTCACCTTTTCAAGCATTGTCCAGTTACTGAGTTTGACATTTAGGGAGGTTCCATTTACAAAGGAATGCATATGAATATCTTCTGGAAAGTACCGAGAGAATATTTCGGCAATAAGGTAGCCATTTGAAAAATCCCTATTTGAAATAAAAATATAAAATTTAAAAAATTGAATGAAAGACTAACATTTGTAGGATTTGTCTTAATTTAATTATGTTATTCCCAAACTGTAGATTCTTACTTAAGAAGGATGATTGCTTTGGGTGACTTGTTGGATTTATATACTTAGCTATACTTCCTTTTCCTAAAGGTAATCAACCTTGACTGTTCTTTGGAAGGACAGATACTGAAGCTGAAGCTCAAATACTTTAGCCACCAAATGAGAAGAGAAGACCCTGACGTCTGGGAAAGATTGAAGGCAACAGGACAAGGGGATGGTAGAGGATGAATAGTTAGATAGTTTACTCGATGCAGTGGGAATGAGTTTGGGCAGACTCAGGGAAGAAACAAGGAGGCCTAGCATGCTGTTGTCCATGAGATTGTGAAGAGTCGAACCTGACTGAACAACAGCAAAATACTTCCTTCTAGAAAAAGGCCTAATAAAAATCCTTTCCCATTGTCCTCATATCTCAGAAAAATAAAACTATTTACTTTGTTTTGCAACACCAAATTCAAATTTCCCTTCCTGAAAAAAGATAAAAAAGCAAGAATTGAATGATAGTAACCATATGATATAACCAATTCCCATTTTATCCTTCCTAGCATTTTTTCACAAGTGCAAGGTCTTTTTTCCCCCCAGATCAGCTGAGTTTGGATCCATTGTTTATGACAGGAACTGACCAACTGGCTCATTACCTGAGCCTTTTCTGTGTCTACCAAACCCAAAAGATCACCCCTTTATTTTTAGAATTTAGACCTGCTTTCATCTGGAATCAGTTCAATACAGATACAGGCTTTAATTTGGAGGAAAGAGATCTATCGTAAGGAAATGAGAGAATGATCAAATTGATAAATACATTCCAATGGACCTGGCTGGACTTTCCCTGTAGGCATGATTCCAATGAGAACATAAAAAGCAAAAGTAGTTACACTGGTCTATAAGCAAAAAGAATCTCAAATCAATACTTGGTCAATACATTTATTAGGATCAATCAAAACTTTTTAAAACTCTGCAAACATCCAAGATTCTATATCAGACAAGATAATATAAAAAAATCAAAAGAAAAAGATATAGAAAAACTAAAAAAAAATAGGCCAAGCATTGCAATAATTAACTTTCTCATTAAGAGTCAATATCAAGACTGCGGACTGAATGAATTCACCACTTTCTTTTTTTAACCTTACTTTCTTGTATAGTTGCATTTAATATCTATAGCATCTATAACTGCCACTCTTCAGCTTCCTGAAAATTCATTCTGGAGTCAGTTTTTTAATAACTGTACAATGGTTTCAATAAATGTACAAACTGCCTTCAAGCACAACAAGCCCCAGGTCTCAAATCACACATTTTAAAGAAAACCTGCTTTTTAAAATAGCCAACTTGTAGAAATTTGGTAAATGCCTAAATAAATTCCAAGTAAACAAAAACTCACTGTGGTTCATTCAAATAAGAACACAATGACACTGTATGCAAGCTATAAGGCTATGAGTTTCTTTGTAAAAAAGGAGAATGTACAGTATATTGGGGTTAGAGCACAACTATGGGGCATATGTGAATTTTGTTGAGATTTTTTGCTGTTTCTAACAAACAACCCTGTTAGCCATTTTGGAATTTTTTAAAAAAAATGACATTTAAAATATATTTTCTATTTCTACAATTTGTCAAGTACCATCAGATTCTTGGCCATCTGATCAAAAACATGAAAAGTCTTCAGGAGGAAGAAAAATAATGACAATCCTCTTCCTGAATTTATTTGTCTTACCTACGGAAGTTCTTTGGTGAAAAACTGAGGTCGAGACTCTGAAGCCATCGCAGTACTGTCAGGGGCAATCCAGTACGCCCTGGACATGTGGAGTATGACATGAAGGCAAGAGAATTCTTCTAAACTGAGGACTTCTTAAGTTCTTATATTTTTTTCCACTTTGTCACCTATCACATTTACATTAAAATACCACAATAATTAAGACACTGTTATGGCCACCTACTTTATTTTATCAATCCAATTTTGCCACATTGGTTAAAAACTCTTATAAGCTATAAACTCTCCATAAATTGGACAGCATTAATTCCCAAAGTTTTTTTTAACATTGTCTTGCATATGAAATTATATCTTCCTCAGCAAATATTTAAAGAAAATAGCATCTCTCTATTTGGCACTACCACTCATTATACTGATTCTGAGAATTAGGGTTATAGCTGATCAGTACCTTGGATAGGACCAGGCAACCTTTCCTGAGGTGACTAAAATACTTCCTTGGTATCCACTAGACTTCTTTATCTTTATAATTTTATAAATTATAATTATAAACAATCTTTATAAAAATGTTTTAAAGAAAATCATAAGAAAAATTGACATACTGCAAAAAATAAAACAAGTCTAAACAAGTGTGTGGTTATCATTTTTCTTCTTTTCTTCTTATGCAGATATTCATCTAAAGAGGTCACAGTCATTCAAAAATAAAAATGGTGAGTGGCTGCAGCACAGGGATTTGTTTAGATACTGTCCATTTGCTTAGCAAAACATAAAGATCAGAATGGGGTAGTAGAAAATGTTCTGAAGGCTAAAAGGAGCCTTGAGAATAACCTTGCTAACTTATGTACAGTAAAGTGGGGGGGGGAGGAATAATAGAAGAAAGAATGCTTTGAGATAGGAGTGGGAATGGGAAAGAATAAATATGAGAAACGTTTTTATTTAGAAAATTATGGCTTCTTCATTCTGTCTCTTTTGTATTTCCTAAACCCATGTTTAATTTGGAAAACAATACATTATGGATTCCACCAACGTGTGAAAATAGCTGCAGCAATGAATTCAGCAAGTTGTAAATACGGATAAGATCATAATAGAAAAAGCTGCTAGTGGTAGCAGGAGTCTCTAGCCGCTTCTGCGAGCCCTTTGTTTATCAAATGCTAATTTCTGATTACAATATCACTGAATATTTTCAGCTCTTTAAACAGGGAGTCAAGTGCCTTTCACCTTTAAGTTACCCGATCTATTATTATGTACTCTATTGTTCTTATTCCTTTCAAATCACTCCAAGAACTTCCTAGAGCTTTCACATCTATTCAAAGTTTGCATCGTTGTCCAAATTGTAAACACCCACCAAGCCAGGCCAAAGCTTAACAGACTTTTGTTGAACCCCCAAATCTTGCTAGACCAACATTTGCAAATCCTAGGACTGCAGATGAGGCTGAACCGGAAAAAGGCAAATGGAAAATCACGTCCCTCCCAGGACTCGAGCTGGATTATGAACGCATTTGAAATTGGCTTCCTTCTCCCCTCCCTGAAAGAAAATTCAACTTTCCCCTCCCCACCACCCACCCCGATTCAGCCGCTTCTTCCTTTCGAGTCCTTTTCTGAACTACCCCAGTCTCGGTCTCCAATGATCCTTTCCATCTACACGCGCGATTCCCGCTCTTACTTAAGAAGGGCCTCAGGCTCCCCGATCGCCGCGTCTTCGATCGCCATAACAACCATCACCGGAGCAACCCCTCGAGCGTCAGTCCCACCCACCAAAGCGATGGGGGGGGGAGTCAGCAGCCCAAGTGCGCATGCGTTTCAGCGTTTCAGGAAAGCATGTACAGTTTTGAACCGTAAGAAGTGGCGGGCGTCTTTCTCGCAATAGTGGGCTCATTTTCTATGTCGTGCTGTCCTAAATCAGGAGGTCGCCTGCCAGTAGTGCATAATTAAACGAACTAACCCATCCACCCGTACCGCTTAACCCAGACAAACTTCCCGGTCACTTGTGGTCCATTTATCTTCTCTCTGAGTTGCGTGTTTCTTTTATCTCCAAATCTAAAAAGCGACATTTTCGACTCTCGAGTCGGCGGTCGCCTGGCTCGTCCCGTTTTCTTGATCTGCCGATGCTCTGGTTCCCCTCCTTTTATGTATGTAGGAATAACCTGTTCCCAGTCAATTTGATAGTTGTACGGACTGTTCAAACTCCGTCTCTGCATTGTCTTCAAGTGCAAAAAGCGAAATACATATTTCCCACGAAGAGGAAGGACAAAATTGGCCCTGGGATTCATTTTTAAAATCAAAATTGAAAGCAGAATTGTCTTTGTGATGTTTTACTTTTAAGTTGGAGAACTAGTTTAATAAATAATGTGATACAAAAAGTTTCATTTTAAATCGATAAAGGACTTGAAACAGTTATCTAAATTTTACTACCCTTCCCCAAAGTTTTGCCTTTTCACGTTACCTTAATAAAAGATTTGCTCTTGAAAATACAAATTTCCAGCTCTGATGCCTGTAGAAGTGATCTTTTTAAAATTATTTTTTATGGATGTGTGTGTTATCTATCTTGACTGAGGGTGAAAAAAAACCTTTCCTTGATAATACAAAGGATGTGGAAATATGCATACTATTGGAGGTTTTTTGAGTGTTGCAAAAAGAACAAAAAGTTGCATAAAGCTTCTTGAAAACCATTTTCTAATTGATGAGATCAAAAATTGTCAAATTTAAACCAATCTAAGATGTCACAAATACTGCAAGTGAAAAAAAAATTGAGAAAATATTCCAGAAGTTGGAATAGATGATATAAATCATCTCTCCAAAGATTCAAACTTGGGCACATTTTATTTGTATAATGAAAATTTTAACCATTCAATAGTTACTGAAATATTCTTGTCCTAAGGGATAAACTGTTGGAAAGTTATAGCAGTTTCATTATATCGGTTTTAAAACATGAAATTTTATATGCAAATTACATTGCATCTGACATTAAAGCACTACACTGATGTAGTTAATTTTTGGGTTGGAGAGAAACTTGTTAGATTTTGCATGTTGTTTGTTTTAATAACAGGAGATGATAAGGCACAACGGGTGGCATTAAACATTAGTCCCCATAGAGCATGACTGAAGCAAATCCTAGGACTGCAGATTAGGCTGAACCGGAAAAAGGCTTTGGCCTTAATAAATTCAGAGAAGTTTGAAAATAAACAAAAATCATAGGTATGCAAAATAAACATAGAAAGTACAACCAGATAACATTAACAATAGCTTTCAGGCTACAGGTCATAATCCATTCTATCTTAAAGCAAAATATTTCAGCAAATGTGGGTGGATGGATGGATGGATGGATGGATGGATGGATGGACGGCGTGATGATAAACAGTGGTTCAGATTACATAATTCAAGTATGATGATCAGAGTTCTTCATGAAAGAGAGAGCTATGGTTCAGTCCTGGATCTTATATTCTTCAATATTTTCATTAATTGTTTGGAGAAATATTCTTTTAACTGACACAATGACACAAAATGGAGTAGGATAGCTCATAACCTACTGGACAGAAATCCAATCCAAAATGATCTTGCTAGGAAGTAATGGACTGTCCGTAACAGAACTAGAGACATGTGCAAAGCTCTTCAAATAAGAAACAAATCAAATGACGTATAAGATGAATATTCAAATTTTAAAGGTTTCCCCATCCAGTCATGACTGAAGGGAGCAGTGCTTATCTGATTCTCAGCTGAGGGAACCTGTGTTGTCTGAGAGATGTTTCTATCATGTGGCCAGCATGAAAATACAAAATGCAGTAACATTCCCATTGAAGCAGTGCCTATTTATCTACCGACATTTGGATGCTTTCTAACTACTACCGGTAGATTGGCAGGAGCTGGGGTAAATAATGGGAGCTCACCCTGTCACGTAGTACTCAGGTCTCGGGCCAGGCTGTCAGCTTTCCAGCTGACAAGCTCAGCTTCTTAACCTCCAAGCCATTGCCCCCTTAAGATGGAATATATCTAGTCTGATAACAATAATTGTGAAAAGATTTTGGAATAGTATTTGTTGCAAATTCAATATTGGCCAACACAGGAATGGCTATGAAAAGCAAATATAATTTTATGTCACACCAATTAAAGTATAATTTTTAATCGTGGGAAGTAACTTTTCTACTCTTTTTTGCATTAGTTTGACTTCATCCTGAATACTCTATTCAGTTTTGGCACTATATTTCAAGGAAGAATTTAGAAAAAAATAGAACGAATTTTGAGATGGGTAAACACCTCAACAGCGTAAACGGTAAAACTTATGAAGAGTGATTGAACGGGCTGTGAACATTTTATCTTGGAAAAAGATAACTGGCTGATGAGATAGCATTCTTCCAACACTGATAAGAATGTCACAGAAGAAAGTCAAAATTTGTTCTCTCTACTATTCCAGAGCACAGAATTATGAGATTAAGTTACAGCAAAATTTACAGCAATTGAATTTGAATTCATGCTTGGAATAAGGGCTTGGATTTGATAATGTACATGTTCTGTTTCAATGCTATAATTATACCAATTGAGAAAGCTTCCTTGGAATTTTCATACAAAATAAACCAAAGGAGTCATGATTCTACAAAAGCCCCAGTCTCAATATATTTGAAAATTACTATTACAATTGTATTATTACTATTGTTACTATTGTTACCATGTTTCTCCAACAATATGCCACCCCCATAGGAAGACCCAGCATGTTCTCTAGGCATAAAATGAAATTAAGCCCCTCCTCCCAAATTTAGGCCTAGTTTAAAACATGCAAAATTGGGGGGGAGGCGGGAACTTGCCATTAGGAGTGCCCCACGAGCAGCTATGCCTCACCATCAGCCGCTCCTAACACCATGGTGGAGCATGGAGGGCTCCCTTACCCCTCCCTTACCCGGGACAGCAGGTGGGCAGCGTCGGCGTGGATGTCCGGCAGCGTTTCAGCCGCTTCCCAGGCCTCCGTAGCTTCTACGGTTCCCACCGGTGCTGGCGCCTCTCTCGCCAGCACCGTCTCCAACAACAGCGTATGAGTCGCTCCCGCTTTTCCCCCGTCCCCGTAACAACAGGAAAAAAAAACATTTTGAGGTACCTGGGAGCAACAACAGCAGCAGCAGCGGCAGGAACCGTGGAAGCATTTCAGCCGCTTCTTGGGTGGGGGAGCCGCCTCCGTAACTTCCACGGTTCCCGCCGCTGCTGCCGCTGGAGATGGCGCTGGCGAGAGAGGGACAGCTGCAGCTTGGCCTGGGCGCTTGGAATGCAGGAATGGGCTGCACACCGGGACTTTTCCAAACTTGCAGAGCCCGAGGCTGGAGCACCAAGGGTAGCAGCAGCAGAGACGCTCGCTCGGCTCTTCTCACGCCCACCCAGCCACTCAGGATTAAACCAAAACGCAGCACGCAGTGCTCCCAGGTACCTCAAAATCTTTTTTTTTCCTGTTGTTACGGGGACAGGGGAAAAGCGGGAGTGACTCAGATGCTGTTGTTGGAGACGGCGCTGGTGCGCGGGAGGGGGGAGAAATTAATTCACCCCTGAAAAGACGTCCTAGCCATTTTTTCAGGGCTCAAAAAAAAAAAAAAAAAAAGGGCCGGCCTTATTTTGTGAGAAACATGGTAGATATTGCAATCCAGTGGCATCAAATCTGGATTGCACAGTTTATTTATTTAATCTTTTATTTGTATAAGTCTCCATCTTTAATTTCTGTGCATTTTAAAGAAATATAATCATGTGCAAACATTTATGGTATTCTTATGTAGTGACTAAAGCACTACTAGTTAAGCCCCTGTTTTGTCCTGAAATTTCCTGGGTGATGCCAGGACAATTAGGGGCTAGATGACAAAAGAAAAACAAATAAATTTACAATAGTAGGTCTTCATCAAGTACGTATGCCAGAAAAGTCTGAAAATAAAATGACACTTATTTGTTTAACCAACTTTCAAGTTTTATATATGTATATCAGTTTTAGAGAAAAAGAAAATGTACTTAACACATAGACAGTCATTCATCTTTACTTAGAATATATCAAACAATCATTAAACTAAACAGTAGATTTTATGCAAAATTTACAAGTTCTAGACTTTCAAAACATTCTCCCCTATTCCCATTACCTACATTATTACTTACAAAGCATTTCATGAAATTTTTAAACACAGGAATATTGTAGAATCATTCCATTCTAGCTCTTAAAATACCAAGAATCCACTAAAAAGCAGTTAATCTGTCATTCTTTCAACTGCAGTAGGAACACAGAAGAAAGTAGCTTCTGTGAGAACAGCATTATTTAAATAGACAACCTGCTACTAGGAGCAGCATATTATTTCTTTAAAATGAAGTAAGTGAATCTTTTTCAACTAAACTACTTCTTACAGAGAATAATGATCTTTATTTTAGGCTAAATGTCGGGGGCATATAGCAGAAAATGGACACATCTAGGATAAAAACTGAACTATCTGATTTTATTTAAATGTAAAGGTAGCCTTCTAGGTATGGTTACTTAATGCCCTCCCTCAAAAGTTACTTATGACCCTGTTTAGAAGTTATGGCCATTGCAGTCCCTGTGGTCATTCACGCTTACGCCTAACCTCATATTGCAACCTAACTCCCCCCCACCCTACCCCACTGGGGCCATGCGGGCCTTTGGCCTATTCTTCATATACCCATCATCCATTGCACTTAGTTTTTGAAGATCTCCAGATGTCTGGCTGTGCAGATCACATTAAGAAACAAAATGGAGTGGTTTGTCCCTTGCCCATGGCTTTGTGAAAGCAATGGAAAAAATGATGGCCACTTCTGGGATGTATGGCACACTGTCTTTCCCCGACATGAAAAACATGGAGATCTCGAGGGACAGCAAGCACAAGATATCTTGAGGGTGGGTGGGGAGGGCTTTGGGAGGCCCAGGGCAGGCAGGCCTGGGCATATGCAAGGCCTCCCCCACCTCTGCTTAACAACCCAGGTATTGATTTAATGGCCACATTGGGGAGGGCAAGGAATGAGAGTTGTTAAGCAAGGCCATCTCACTTAATGGCCATCACCACTGGCCGGCTTTGTTACAGCTGTATCTTAAGGATTACCTGTATATATAATTGCAACTAAATTATTAAATGAAATTAGTATAATCATCTCCCAATCTTATTGTGCTAAATAGCTTCCTGTTTCAGTTGCAGTTGAAGAAAAAATTGATCTAGAACTGCATCCAAACTTTGGGAAGGTCCTTGTGACCTTGAGATCACATGTTGGGGAATTTATACAGTGAAGAAAAATGGAAAGAATTGGAAGCATTAATTTATTTGAAATCCCATTTCTCTTTCTCTCCGCTGCATTCCAATACTTTTAAGAAAGAAAGAAGAAAAGGTTCAAATAGAATTTACAATTTGCACTGCAATATACAGTGTCCTGATATAGCAATAGCACTTAGACTTATATACCGCTTCACAGTGCTTTACAGCCCTCTCTAAACAGTTTACAGAGTCAGCATATTTCCCCCAACAATCTGGTTCCCCATGTTATTGACCTAGGAAGGATGGAAGGGTGAGTCAATCTTGAGCCACTCAGAATCAAACTCCTGGAATGAGCAGTGAGTTAACCTGTGATACTGTATTCTAACCACTGCACCACCACGAGTCAGACTGATCAAAAGTAAATTTTAGATGGAGTGATTAATCAGTAAGGACTATGTTGTAAAAGAATACATTTTCAAAATATTAGGGCTGTGTAAGTCCTTCCAAAAACATGCTTTGGAACATGCAAAGGAGTGCACAAAGCCCAACTTTTTTAATTGCTAAGGTAGCTGTGCAGAAAGTTGCTGCTGTCTCTCTCTGCATATTTGTGCATAAGTGGAAATGGTTGGAAGCAGCTTCTTAAATATCTGGTTGTTTTAATCATTCACACGCAAAAGGCCTTCACACATATTACCTTGCATTTCAAAACACTTTTTTCAAAGAATTTGTATGCCTCTGTAAAACATGAGCACATTTATATTTAATTTTAGTAATACTTCAAGGAATTCCAAATTATGTTTGGCATGATTTTAATTTGCGGACAAGTTTGTTTAGGCTGCTCCCTATCATATATAACTTTCATGTGTAGCATGTTGTAGAACATTTATTGAAGTTCTGAAATTCTATTCACTATTTCATTGGTACTGTAAGAAATTTTTCAAGATGTTTGGCAGTTGAAGTTGTGGTACAAGATGCAATCTAGACTTTCCTATATAATTTCGGATTCGTAGTCGGCACAGCTGGCAAAGAGAACATGGAGTAACTGCAATTGAATAAAAAATGACATTAGCTAGCGTTAGATAGCATTCTCAACAACTTATATTTTGTACTTATTACATTATATATTTTTTATCATATATTCAAACAGTCATTTTAATTGAATATATTAGAGTTCTTGGATGCACTGCTATTTTTACTGACATGCATCTAAGAAATATGTAACACATATGCATATTTTCGGTAAGGAAAATTAAAGAATGCTTGCAAAGTTCAACAAAACTTTGAATGATTTGGGGAAGAAAATATAAATTTAGGGCAAAAAAAAATGTTTTCCCAGGGAAAGTGAAGTTTGCAACCTGCTCTGATAGTCAGACAGGAGGATGGAAAATTCTTCTCCCCTCATTCTAAATCTAATATATGTGCTTCCTCAGCACTGAGAAAGAGAAAGAGAAAAGGAAGCAGCTTGGGTTTGATGCTGCCATCCAAAACCCAATAGCAACAAAGAAAGAACAAATACAAACTTTACCTTCATGTAACAGCAGTATTTTTTCCACCAAGCTACTTGAAACAGCAACATCTACTGGTCGTTCAAACTCTGAATTTTTGGCATTAATATCTGCTCCAAACTCAAGAAGCATGTTTACTATTTCTGTATTAGGTAGCCTTGCAGCTGCATGCAATGGAGTTTCCAAAAACTTTCCTTTTTGCACATTTGCCCCTATGGATTTATAATAGAGTGCATTTCACATTAACCTAAAGATATTTTAATAAAGAATCATAATCAGATCACAGTGTTTAATTTTTGTTTCTCAGAAATAAACATTTCTTAGCAATTGGTTTCATTTATATTCTATTTTTCCACACCAGCGAGTACTAAAAATAGTTAATATAACTTTGGAAATAATAGTAAAATTAATTAAAATGTAAAAGGCCAGTAAAATAGATGCATATTGGTTGTTTGTAAAGCAGAAACCATAGCTTTGCCCAAGTCAGATAGTACATTAAATATCTTGGGGAAACTGCAGGAGTAAACCTTCTCCTGTATGACAAAGAAATGAGCCTTGGCTAGTGGGGACATCTTTAGAAGTGCCTGTCTTATAGATATTAACAGTCACATAGTTTCATAACAAAGGTACTAGAGTCTAGGTATACATCACATCAAACTAGATTACATTAGACCAGGGGTGTCACACTCAAGGCCCGTGGGCTGGATGCATCCCACAGGGTGCTTATATCTGGCCCACGGAGCTGACCTGGAAACAGCAAAGGACTGGCCTACTATGCCTCTGCCAGCAAAACTGGAGCACAGCAAGGTCACGTGTCCCCCCCCCGTGCCCCATTTTTGGTTACAATGGTCTCCTGCAGCCCTCTGCCAGTGAAATGGGGCCCAGGGGGGCCCACGCGGCCCTCCCAAGATCTGTTTTCACTGGCAGAGGGCTAGCAAAAAAACTAAAAACAAAACAAAAGAGAGAGAAATGTTTCCCCTTTTGCATTTGAGCATGCAAGAATGTACAGGAAAGGAGAAAGGGAAAAACAAAGAAAAGAAGGAAATATGGGAAGAGAGCAAGGAAGGAAAAATAAGAAAAGAGGGGAAGGAAGGAAAGATAGAAAAAAGGAAGATTATAATGAGAGCTAGGGAGAATCTGAGGGAAGTCCTGCCTTAACACTTGGCCATCACAGGTATCCCCGACATGAGTGAAACCATGCCCACCCTGGCCACACCCACGCTGTCCCCGAGGTCGAACACAACCCTGATGTGGTCTTCAGTGAAATCAAGTTTGACACCCCTGCATTAGACTAATATATCTAGCATTTAAATATATCATGGTGAGTAAAATGTGTGCATATGCAGTGGGTGAGAGGAGAGGTTGAAGAATTCTGATAACTTTAGGGATGAACTCCATATTGATGGAAGTGTGGAACTAATCACAAAAATAATGGGTTCAGAAAGATATGGCAGGTTGGTGTCACATATTGGTGACAGGTTCTACTTCTGGACCTGCAATCTTGATGCTTAGAACACTGATAACCTTAACTTCTTGCTGCTGTTAGTAAATAAAAGGTCTGACTGTAGATCTTATTCATCCATAATGTAGTGAATAAAGAAAGTAACTGGTATGTATTTCTAGAACCTAATTGGGTTAAGTAGCAATGTCATCCTTTGGAGATATGGGCTAACCCACATTAAGAACACATGTTCAGTTCCTAATTTGTTAACTGGTCACCTTGAACTTAGATTGTTGGACATAAATTGTCTTAGATAATTGTCTTGCTGTGAGACTCCCTGCAATTCAAAGGCGTTCTTTGGCTATGAAAGATTTTGCCCCTGGTTAATTTTTAACTCTTATGTTTGTTTTGGCTTTTGCCTTGATATTTTAGTTATCACACAAGGTGGCAGCATTTATATAACTTGATTACACTTGAAAAAAACTAAACAGACTTGATATTAAATGGGAGATCAGCATGAATTCCCAGAAGTGAATACTAAACTGGGAAGTCAAGTAAACATCTTTAAAAAATGTATTTTAAAAATCACTTAGAAATCATTACTAAGAAAGTGATTGGCCATGTCCTTGCAATTTCCGAGAATTGAATTTAAGGAAGACTTTGCTTTTTTTGTTATAGAAATAAAATATAATCAGTCAGTCAATGTATAGCCGGAGCTGATTTTGCAGAGGTATAACAATTCTACCCAGAATGATCTGACACAATAATGCAAGTTTATTTATTAATAAATAATCTTAACGAATCTTAACGAATCTTAAAGAAAATTGACACTCCATTAATAAGATTTAAGTTATAAAAGTATGGGTCTTTAAAACAAGGGACCTCACTATATTTTTGTAGATATAATATGGATAGTGATCTAAGTACTGCTGAGTTGTATATATAAGTGAATTGAAAAGTGGCTTAATTTGAAATATACAGTGTAGTTGATATAGGGATTAATTATGACAAGTATCATTTGAAACATATTAACATAATACATTCCTGTATGTTTGTAAATTAATGACTTCCAGAATCAATATCACCTCATCCTGATGATGTTGATCATAATGAGACATAAGTAATGTATTTTTCAGGAATAAACTACACTTAAAAATAATCTTTATTGTTCATCTGAAATTGATACAGAGCAACTAAAGTGGCCTAATGAAAAAAAATGTGTTGGCTTTATAGCAAATAAACACTATAATACTATAAGCCTGGTGGAGTTCAAGAGGAAACAAAATAAAAATACATCAAACAATATATATTACCTGAATGCAGAAGTTTGTGAACACATTGTTTCTGCTGTGAAAAGCAAGCCACATATAGAGGCGTTCCTAAGTGAGGAACATATAGATCAACTTCTATGCCCCAAGAAATCAGCAATTCTAGACAATCACTGTGACCTAAAGAAAGCATAATTGAATTAATCCCTAAAACAAAATCTTAAATTTTTAAATGGCCGATGCATTTTGTAATCTGCCTATTCTAAGGCTTACCTCTGCTGGCTGCTTCATGAGTTGGCGAAGGAAAACATGTCTCCCATTGAATTTTTGCACCATATTCCAATAGAAGTTGTACACAAGATGCACTCCCTCTTGAGCTGGCATTAAATAAGGGTGTTATCCCATCAATAGTTGTGGCATTCACCTAAAATATTGGTTGGAATTATTGATGGGGATAAAGTACATGTTACAAATCATGCTTTGCATTTATTGCTCTCTTGTATCCAATGTGGTTTGGAGATACAAAAAGTCTAGGGTTTGCAGTGTGACATTTTGACAACACTGCATAATTTTTTCATCTCAAGGTGTATCAAACATCTAATATGTACCCCCTTTCCCATGTTCAAACCATTCAGAATGCAGCTAAGTAAAGATTAAAGGTTAAGGTTCTCCTCGCACATACATGCTAGTTGTTCCTGACTCTAGGGGGCGGTGCTCATCTTAGTTTCTAAGCCAAAGAACCAGTGCTGTCTGATGACAATTGCCTGGTCATGTGGCCAGCATGCCTAAATGCCAAAGGCGCACAGAATGCTGTTACCTTCCCACCAAAGTGGTCCCTATTTTTCTACTTGCATTTTTACATGCTTTCGAACTGCTAAGTTGGCAGAAGCTGGGACAAGTAACAGGAGCTCACTCCGTTACGCAATGCTAGGGATTTGAACCGCCGAACTGTTGACCTTTCTGATCGATAGGCTCAGCATCTTAGCCACTTAGTCCCCATAGTAGTAAGTAAAGATTACATATACTTAATTACATACTGCAAGGAAATGTCATTTTAGTAAAAAAAAAATAGTAATAAGCTAGACTTCCAATAGGTATGATACATATTACCTAATGCTTCTAACAAAAGCTTTCTAGCTTTTTAACAGTTTAAAGTAATATCAGTGTGATCACTTACATTTGCTCCTGCTTCGAGAAGTATCCGAGCACATCCTACATGATCTCCAAGGCATGCCTCGTGCAATGGTGTCACTTGATCAATGGTTAAAGCATCTACATTGTATCCCTAAGCAGAAAACAAAAAATTAACCATCACAATAAGTCTTCTAACTACCGTATATACTCGAGTATAAGTCGACCCGAATATAAGCCGAGGCACCTAATTTTACACAAAAAACTGGGAAAACTTATTGACTCGAGTATAAGCCGAGGGTGGGAAATGCAGCAGCTACTGGTAAATTTCAAAAATAAAAATAATTAATTTGGGAAACGATCTCACTATCATGAAAGGTTTAATTGATTCACTAACCCAAAAGAAGAAGATGATGATGACAGCGGGAGGCAGGAGTCACTCTCTTCCCCTCCCTCGGAGGCCCCCTGAGTCAGGAGTCACTACCGCTGGCGCGGCCCCAGTCCCGCCGCCTCGGGAAGGGAAAGGCAAAGCGCTTTTTGCCTTTCCCTTCCCGGCTGGGGCTGTTGGGAGTCGCTGCCGCCGGAGGCCGCGACTCCACACCATTTTTTTTTTCAGAGGGGAATCTGACTCGAGTATAAGCCGAGGGGGATTTTTTCAGCACAAAAATTGGGCTGAAAAACTAGGCTTATACTCGAGTATATACAGTATTCAATTTCATAATGAAAGATAAATTATGTAACAATAAGTCTTTATTCAATATTTGCATAACATACACATTTAACTATTATTCAAGAGGAATGTAATCATGGAAAAAAATTGTATACTTCTGGACATTTTGGGGTTTGATTTGATACCGTATAAAACCATGTTGTTTACCAGCTAATTGCAATTACTATTTTTACAGTTATTTGTCTTACTCTTTGTTTTTTGTCCTATGCCAAATTTCAGAAAAAAATCTGATAAAAGTTCAAAGCAACTGTGTCTTTTAATATGTGGAAACAGAATCAGTCACACAGAATGCAACTGCTTTGTCTGTCGAAAAGACAGTCTGGGTTGTGCTACAGCATGTGGTTTATTTAACCACAGATTATAGGAGAAATCAGTGATTCAGTTCAGGATTCTCAAACTTTTTTTCTGAGTGCATTTATTTGTGGCTTTCCTTCATTGTCACTGACAGCTGAACATGTTTCCACTACCTATTGACTAAATTGTATCAAAACTATGGTCCTCCCTAGAAATGCTCCTGGCCCCACACTCAGAACCACTTCTAGTTTCTAGAAGTTATAGAAACAGATTCTATTTCATATATAATGCCAAGTCATAAAGTTTGATTTATAAATCTGAGTCTACAGATTGTGCTAAACCAGTGGTGGGTTTTATTTTTTTTTACTACCGGTTCTGTGGGCGTGGCTTGGTGGGCGTGGCAGGGGAAGGATACTGTAAAATCTCCAGTCAGAGGTGGTATTTGCCGGTTCTCCGAACTATTCAAAATTTCTGCTACCAGTTCTCCAGAACTGGTGAGAACCTGTTGAATACCACCTCTGTGCTAAACCAAAAACAAAACACCTTAGGACTATATGTGAACCCAACCATACTGTCATTTCTGGCTTGCTCAATAAATCATGGCATATATGAATGCAAATAGTCAAAGGCATTGCTAAATTGCATTGTTCTGCATTGCTAAAATCTGAGTCACAGCAACAAAGAAAGATTCAGCAGAGATTCTTGGCTGTGACTCCTAGAAAAAAACAGCAAATGTGGAGGGAGTTATAAGTTTTTTGGTGACCAGGAAGATTGAAAGATAGTTGAGCAAGGAGTACAACATCTAAGAGATCTGATTCCCAGAAAAGATAGGAGGCAAGGAACTTGTGTCATATATAGCACATGACTGACAGTGGGGGGCCATTCTTAGAACCAGGAAGAGAGGGCGCTACCCAGCTCACCTCTTTGGGCATCTCTAATTAAAACATTGCCAACACTGCAGCACTGGAAGCCAATTGGTTGCTCAAGACCAAGGTTTCAGCAGCCACTTTCCCCACATCCAGCAGGTTCAGACATGGGGAGAACCACAGATCCCATCATCCTTACTCAGCTGGCTGGAAGGCTTGGCCTGTGGAACCTTTAGAATGGCAATGTAAGAATCCCAAAACTACTGGAGAAATGGTAATTCTGCCAACAGATATCAGTGTTGTTGATGATAATGTAGTTAGTGGCATGGTTACTCCTGGAGGTAATTACATACATTTTTGACATCAGGGGAGTCCCAGCACTGCAAATTTGGAGATCCTCTGAAATATAGAAAATTCTAAAGTTTTACTGCCATGGGCACTTAAGAATTTTTCAAGCTTTAGCTACCTTAAACAGGAAAAGATGGCAGTCTGTATTTAGAATATTTTTGAATCGGCTTGTGGCATGGGGATATGCATGCTGAAATTGTTTTAAGTCACTTTAAAGGTTTGCCCATGCAGAAATATGGGGTCTAACTTTAATAAGAAAAATAAAAATACAGTGAAAAACCTGTTCCACAAATTAAACTAGCTATAAATTGCATAGAGTAGCTACAGAAAATATTTCGTATATCAAGGGAAGGATCTGGGTATTAAAAGATTCAGTAGTAGAAGGCAGAGGGTTAACTAGCATATCCTTTCTCATCAATTTTATTCAACTGGGAAGCAATTCTTGGATAAATTGGAGTAATGAGAATGAGCAGTTCTTAACTGTATAGCCTGCAAAGTCATATTAGAGAGTCATCCAACCTGAGATCACATTGTGGTTAAGATAATCTCATTCTGTAATCATATCCCAATTTTGGTTACCTTTGTTTAACTACAGCCTTGTGCTTGTTGTGTGTATGGTTGTTATTTAAAAATCATGTTGGCTGGCTATGCCCTGGAATAGTTAGGATACTGATTGCAGAAGAGAGATATGTATACGTCTCTATCACAAAACAAAGGTACAGTTAGCATGGAACCTTTAACAACAACGTGAATTAGATTATTTTTTATCACCTGAGCCTGGATTGCAGTTATTTGGTTAGTTTTTGTATTGTAAAATTGATAGTCATCAGAATCCTAAAACACTATGCCTGGATATTTATTACTTCAATAAAGTTGGCGCTTGGAGGGAATGTATCAGATTCTGATCTGTACATCACCATCACTGTTATACATACCAGCGGTCGCCAACTGGTGGGCTGTGAGAAAATTTTGGTGGGCCGCAGAGAAATCTCACCCCCAGAGCACCCCGCAAAGCAATTAATCCAGGCTACACAGAAACACAAGGCTGCGCCGCCCACATGGCTTGCGAGCCCTCCCCGCCCACTCACTCCTTACCTGGCAAACTTGCCTGCTAAATTGCTATTTTTTTTCTGACCATCAGCTGTTCTGCTGTGCCGGGAGATTTAGATTAGCTAGGAAGCAGGAAATGGTAGGATTTCTTGCTTTCTAGTTAGTCTTTAGATCTTTGGCTCTGCTTTTAAGCATAGCCGAACCTCCCTTAGAACTGAAGGCTCTATTATTCAGTGCAGACTCACGGCAAGCAAATTTTATGTGACAGACTCAGGTAACCGATGGCAGATAGATAGATCACTGAATGATTCTGTGAGCAACTCAATCTGCCTGCCTGCTTTGCCTGATTTTGGATAAAAGTTGCTCTCTTTTTTTTTATAAAAAAATCAATATTTACATACATGGTGTGCTGTGAGTTAATTTTGTGAGTTTGCTTGCTAGCAAATTTCATGAGTTTGCTTGCAAGCAAATTTTATGTGACAGACTGAGCTAGCCGATAGCAGAGAGATCTCTGAATGAATCTGTGATTCTGTGAGCAACTCAACCTGCCTGCCTGCTTTGCCTGATTTTGGGTAAAAGTTGGTCTTTTTTTATAAAAAATTATATATTTATATAAATATTTATAATATTTACATACAAGCCATGCCCAGCCAGTCACATGACCACCAAGCCACACCCACAAATTAGGGTATACCCACAGAACTGGTTAGTGGTCCCTGGGATTTAAAATGATGAGTTTGGTGGTCCCTGAGGTCCAAAAGGTTGGCGACCCCTGATATATACTATAGTGAGAATCTTGGAACTGTATAAACAAATAAAGAAAACACATAAACCAAAACTTGTGATTAATGAAGAATGAAGTAATATCATTTTCATGTTTAACAAAGCAGTAAAAATTTAACAGAAATTAACATTGATTTTAGTTACATTTTCACCTTTTACCTGTGCAATTAATGTTTTGAGAGATAGAAGGCGCCCTTGGCTTGCTGCTTCATGCAGGGGTGAGCGATCTGCCCAAGAACCTATGGAACAATACCATGGAATAGATTAAATTACATAATTTTCATTAATATAAAAGAAGTAATACAAAAAACGTAAGTACATAACTACGTGAATCACATTAAATGAACAAGCCTGCTCCCTGCTCTCCCCAATTCATTCATTAATCAAATACATAGGTCATTAAGTGTGCATGGGATACCTCAGAAGTGGAATGAACATGGGGGCGGGGCTAGTGCAAGAACAAGACTTGCCTCTGGCCACCTAAGGCCTTGCCCATCTACTGAGATATCTCATGCTCCTCTTCCCATCTCTTGGGGTCTCCATAGTGCTTGGGGCTTATCCACACAAACACCTTATCATCAATCACTTACTTGCCTTTCGAAGATCTCCAGAACAGGCTCGGCCACATGGCAGAAAAGGCCTTTTTTCCCCAGATGCTGACAAAGCTGTTTTCCTTAAATCTTGCATTCTTACACACTCATTTTTGCTCAGAGGATTTAATCGTCTGCAGGAACACAAAATCTATTGCATTTCTGAAGGCCGTGTCTGGTCCGAGCCTGGCTGGTGTGCAGGCACCTTCTGCACACTGCTGGGCTGTTTGAATGAACTGCTTTGGGGATTGTGGTGTGAAGGTGGCAGCAGCAATCAATACAAGGCATTTTTCATGCTAGTTTTGACTGGAGGAGGCAGGACTATATGGCGGAAGGGCAGCTATAGTAGGAGAGTGAGCCAGAGTAGCGGCACTGTCACTGGGGATGGCCGAGCACATCACAGTGAGCCAGGTCAGTGCAGTTGCTGAGCACCATGCCTGGAAGCTCTTTGCCATTTGTTCTCACTCATCTTCTGTGGTGTCTTGAGTACCAGAGCCTTAGGCGTGCTCCCTGGTGTGGGGGCACCTGCCTGTATTGTTGCCAGAAAGGTCCTCTTACTCCAGGTAACCCCTGCAGCCTGTAGGCGCCTCCCTGTCCACCTGATCTTCCCGAAGGCGCACCCCGCAAGTGCAGGTTTGCTGGGGCACCAAGCTCTCCATCTCTCCATCCATCTCCATGGTGGTGCAATTGATGAGGTCCAAATGGGTTCAGCGCTCCACTGGGTGGCTAGCATTTGAGAAAAAGATGGCTGCTTTTTTGTCATGTGGCCCAGTCTATTCAGGAGCTCTAGATATCTTTGAAAGTGAGGGATGAGGGACCGGTACCAGGTTGGGGAGGAGCATGTGGAACCCGGTGGGCTAGCAAAGCAGACTGTGGAGATTGGTGAGACAGGATTGGGTATGTGTGAATAGGCAGGGGTTATGTTGCAGTATCTCTGTGGTCAGTCGTAAGGTTAAATGATGTCCTTGGTACCGCAACATACATAACTTAGGGACTGGGTTGTAAGTACTTTGGGACCGGTGTCGCAATTTTGAACTGTCACTAAGTGAACTGTCATAACTCAAAAACTATGCATACTATGAAAACTCTCATTTTCACGACCTTTAACTGGGTGAAACGATGCATCATAGAGCAACAATGTTTTAACCAAGTACCTCCAAAGGGCTAATTTACAGAATATACAGAATATATGTGACTCCCTAGGGAATAAAATTTGAGAACATTGTGGCTGCTTCAGTGCTACTAACTGCTGCTGCATTTCTGGCCTGCTGCTGTACTGACATCATTTTTATTATTCCATTTCCCAGATTTTTTCCAGATTTTGTTTTATTGAACTTTATTAATTTATTTGATTCTTTTTGTTAGTTTTTATTGTTTTTTAAAAAAATATGGTTTACATTCTGTAAGCCACCTCAAGTCACCATGGGCAAATAGGCAGCAATATAAATTAAATCAATCAATCAATCAATCAATCAATCGAAGGAAAGAAGGAAGGAAGGAAGGGATTTCTGCTCCTTGCCAGATCCCCATAAGGAAACTCAATGAGGAAGCTGGTAGGAAATTGGAAGTTACTCCTGTTCCCACTGCTTTTTTGCATAATCATTCTGTTTCTTTAAGAAAGGAAGTATCTCTGAAACAATGACCCAGTGGGCCATGGGTTGTGTAGTTCTTACTAAATCTGGTTCTCATCCCTCAAGTATACATCTGGTGAATCATTCTCTGAATAGAAAAAAATGGTAATGGTATTTTTTTTCCATTTATCCACACATGGGAATGCTTTCAAGTTGTAAATCCAAATATGAATGAAATATTAGAACTGAGATGCAAGTTCCATTAGCTGCAAGTCAATTAATGGAATTCACTTAGTATAGTGCTGTAGCCAGGGGGAAATGGCCCCTATTTCTTTAACCATATCAAAATACTGGTGTGTCTTTCAGCTCTCGCCCTATTGCGCAAACTAAGCAATTCAATGCATGGGTTCAAAACATATTGCTAAACAGCTGAAGAGAAATCCAGAAATACTTATGAGCTTTCCAGTTTTCATTCCCTGCAGGAAATAAATTCTTCTGATTTAAATTAGGTGTAGATGTGTGCATAATATTTGATTTTAACACTGCACAAAATTCTACCACATTATGGTAAAAGGAACAATAACCTATATACTAGAAAATGAAATATAAGCCACATATCTTGCAACAAATTATTGCGTGAGCAACAGACCCCAAAATATATGGTTGCTATTTACAACCTCCTTCATCCATCCTCTGCATCCTCTGCAGAGAATTCATTACACCTTTGTGCCAATTTGTTTTGCTGCCAAATTAGCTTTCAGAGCTGCAGCATTGGGGAAAATGCACCAAGCATATAAAGTGCCTGATTAGTATCCTTGAGCCATTCTGAGACTGTCCTGGTACTATTAATTTTGTTAAAAGCAGAATACTGCAGTCAAAATATTTCTTACTGCTAGTTTTCATTTTCCCTTGCAAAACATATTGATTCACATCCTTGCTAACTTTCCTGTTTCCTCCCTTTAAATGTACATGCTGTGCTTCTTAGAAAATTGTGGGCATACGTAATTATTGCAAAGCCATGACATTCATTCTCTCACAGTGTCAGGATAGAATCCAAAACTCTGCACTGAACTAAGGCTCCGTGTCCAGGGTCTCCATTATAGCTATACTAAGAGCAAATATAGGCTAGTTAACATCTTACTTCAAAAGTACTCCCTGTGGGCCTCCTTTTCCTATTTATTAGAACTAAAGGTTATCTCCTATATTTTATATTGGATTTTAATCTATCTTGCAGTACCTGTTATGATTGCATTTGCAAAGAAAAAGGTTATGATTGCATTTGCAAAGAAAAATAATTCATTTGAAAATACTGTAAGTTACTTGATAGAGGAATGATTTATTCTACATTCCCTCCCCCTTCCTCCATTTAATTTCTACAGGCTATTGGAAAAGACAAGAATATAAAGCTGTATTCTTAACATTTTAAAACACCATACAGAAAACGCCCAAACAATCATGATTTTTAAAGTTCTACGCCAAAGTCCAACAAGAGAACAGATTTTTCTCAGTTATGCAATGAATTCTTGTAGTTTAATGATTGGTGGCAGAATTATAAGTACCCTAGAAGTACTAGAAATATGATTCTATATATGAAAGTCTTTCAGTACTGTACTTGTCTTTATCAAGCTTTCACAGCATTGGGTACACTGAAGAGAAAATTAAGTTCCAATTCAGTCTAGCTCTTTAAATTTAAGGAAAAAATATTAAAGGCTATTTGGGGGAAAAATACAACCTCTAACATTTCCTTATGATTTTTTTCTCAGTGGCTGAAATGCAAAGTACCAGTGGCTATATTTAGATTCTGCATTGCAAGTCATATGGTATCTAATTTACCAGGAACAAGAGCTACAGTTCTGTAAATATTGCAGAGCTCAAAGTTAAAATGCTACCATAAACAGACAAAAATAAGGAAAGTTTTAAACATTGTATACAGTACCTAAATCTCCATCTCCCCATGGCATTTCCAACCAATTTTGACTATAAATCCTGCTCATTTTAAATAAGAAAAGCTGTCTCTTTAGTTGATTCTTGTTAATAACACGTCAACCAAATTTGGAAAGAGCTTCTTGCACTCAGTCTAAAATGAACTTTCACCTGTAAAGACACTGCAGAAAACAATATCCGAAGACCTATGTTTAATAATATTTCAGCTTTCATTGCTAAGTCCTGTATAGTAAAAATACTATCTGCAACATTGCATACTTTACGATATATACAGTATTTCATTTTATGTGATCTAAATTATGATGATTTGAATTTGGCTATGAATTCAAATATATTCTGTGAATTTATTAAGTAAATTTGCACAATAATCTCTTAACCTCATTTACATCTTTAAAAGAGAAAGATGTATTTTATTTTATGCAACTTTGTAATAAAAGAACTAAACATTACAGAAGTTAAATGTTTAAAGTTAAACTTTGCAATATCATGTTATGAAGTACCTGTAATAGACTAGATCTCTATCATATAATGTGAAAATGGTCACATGTAATTGGACAATAAACTCAAAATGTTTGTTTGCATAAAGGTATTTCTGAAAAAATACCATGCCCTCATAGTATTACACAAATACTCATCTGCAGTATTATCTTTAAATATTTTGTAAGAAAGGACTCTTAGATAATTTCCTGATTTATACATAAGCTATACTTTTTCTATACTTCAGAGATTAATTTATGGCTTTGGGGTAATTTATATGCTCCGTCTATGAAACATTAGTTGTTTGAATAGACTTTTTTGATTAAAATATCTGAATCATGGTCTACAACCAGCTTAAGACAACAGAAAGAAGGGCATTTTCCCTATAATCTCTAAAAATGGAAATGTATTTAGAATTTTAACAAAATTTAACAGATGATAGAACTTTTTTTCTTTTTTCTTTTGCTTTAAGTGACCTAACATTTCACCCAATGAGTTAGTTTGCAATAACAAAATGGACATACTGCTTACAGTCTTTAGTTTTTCATGCGAAACCTCACTTCTCAACTAGAGTAACTCTTGATTCTCTTCCTTAGAGTTCTCCTTCCCAGGGGAATATTAAAATGTATTTGGTGACTAGAACTTAATTTCAGCGTA